CTAAAGACAAAGAATGCCCCCATACCGTGTTATAGAATACTGAAGCTTTACTTGTAAATTAATACTGAAGCTTTAATTGTAAATTAATACTGAAGCTTGTCAAACGGTTCAAAGAAACTGCCTCTTTGGAGGATCGACAACGAAGTGCAAGACCTTCGTTGGCGAAATGCCGAATTACTGCGATGCAAACTCATATGAATGACAAAGCAGAGGAATCATTCATGGAAAGTAGCAGCGCCCGCGTAGGTGGAAGGATATGTATTTTAGGAGACACAGCTCAAATCCATTTTTCGATTGGGATATGGCAAGAATTAAAAGCGAACCTCAATTGTTGTTCAACGTTTTCTAGATGGATGAAACGAACTTCACACTACACGGGGATATCAACACCCAGAATATTCATATATGGACGACGTCGAATCCTTATGAATACTCGACGAAGTCACTGCATCGAGCCAAGTTGACAGTCTGGTGTAGCTTCGCCTCATCTTTCATTATCGGACCATTCTTCTTTGAAGAACCGTGTCCATATCTGGCTGGGAAACGTGCACAGTAACCGCTGAGCGTTTTCGTATTCTTATGAGTGACAAAGTCGTGCCCGAATTAAATCAAATAGGTGTGATACCTGTAATAAGCTTTACGTAGGATGGCTCACCACCACACTATGCCAATCAAGTAAAACGATTCCTCTTGAGTACCTTTGATGAAATCAGAGTGATTAGTCGATGTAGCAAGATTCGCATGGTTTCCACAATCATCCGACCTCACTCCGGTCGACTTCTGGTTATGGGGCTATTTGAAATCATTTCTGTACCCTTCATTCCCTTCGACATCGGCCGAACTCAAAGATTCTGTCTGTTGTGAGGTTTTAACAGTTTATTCCGACATGTTGCATTCAGTTATAACAGGTGTTATAAATCGCCTTCGTTGGGTCGTACAATGGTGTGGAGGTCATGGTGAACAATTGTTATTGAAAGAATAAATAAATGCAGCGTACTGTTTTCCTGATCATTGTGTTTCGGGTCGTCAGTACCCTCTACCGGTGACAATTGAAACTAAAAGTTTTTGCTGCTAAAAATATCTTACTTCCCTGTGAGCCTTTTCTTGCAAACCGCATTTCTTTATCGTAATTTCATCCTTTTTTTTATGAATTTTTGAAGTTTTAACAAACTTTTTACAAACAAACACTTAACAAACAAACAACCGGCATATGCTAAACTATATGCTATATATATATATATATAAACATATGCTAAACTATATGCTATATATATATATATGCTATATATATATAAACTATATGCTATATAATATGATAGCTGTTTCAAAAAAATAATTGGCGACCTCAAAATTAATATTCTAAATTTGGTGATCTCCCCCGGGTACAACTTTTCTCCCAGGTTCCAGATTTTTCAATGTTACGTAAAGTTTTAATGCAAATACCTCTTGTCCAATCAATTTAATTTAAACCAAAACTTTGAATTAAACTTTTCCGACTCCTAATCTTCTTCTGCTGAAGTACTATGACACTTCCCTTTTTCACATGAGCTCTCCTGTTGGCAAGGCGGTTTTCATCCATGCTGCTGCCGCTTATTTGCTTAAGATGACGTCGTACTTCAAAATGGAACTTTATTGTATTCAAATATAATTAGGATCATTTTGTCTGCAAAAGGATGGTTTGATATACGAAAAAAAAAAAAAAAATAAATAAATAAATAAAGATTGAAATTCTTCATGATCCATTGTGCTAAATGCGTCATCATGCTTTTCCACTCAGCCACCTCCAAGTCATCAGGGTCTTCTAAGCCATCTACGCAATATCGAAAGCTGTTAAAAAGTCCAATGTTTTCATCTACACCTTTTAAAATTACTACATATATGTAAAATATAAAAAACACGATGGCTTTGCTCTATGCGAACAAGTAACCTCTAATTAACTTTCCGCAATTTCAAGATCTTCCTCCTAGACCAGTACATTCGAGCATATTACGTAACCGCTTCTATAAATAGAAAACTCGCGCCATTTTGCGTTGAGACCGCTTTCTGCCTCTACTGCTGTTAAGACCTATGCTGCTACTCTCATCTGCCTCCCTTTGTTCGAATACTATGACGCAGTGAATTTCAAGTTTATTTTATTTAGTAAAGAAGGATGATCAGCTTTTTGAATTGGATAAAGATATGGAGCTATAAATTTAAATCTTTCTGTGTCGTAATTGGATGCCGCCTTACACTCAGCCACAACAATGTCCATAATTCTAATGTGACCAGATTTTCAAGCTTAAGTGCCCGACTGCCAAAATATTACATATACATATATATATATAATATATACATATAAGAGTGAGTTTCAAAGAGTAGTCAGTTTCAAAGAGCGCGGTATATTAGAATGAAGCATAGAGCTAGCGTTTTTGGAAAAATCGAACTAAATCGGGGTATTCCCAAGAGATCTGTACTTTGCCTCACATTGTTCTCCCTTTTTATTTCTGGAATTGATGCTGGAACTAATGCCAGTCACTTTATAGTTGACATTGATGCTGGAACTAATATCAGTCACTGTATAGTTTTGTATGCTTATGAAATAATAATGATTATCCGGAGCAGCAATTCAAGTCCCACCTCTGCTCAGGAAGATATTAACTCAACCCTCCTGGATCTTGACATTTTTGTAGCGGATCATAAGATCGTTTTCAATCTCTCAAAAGTCTGCTTCCAGTACTTTTACCACTAACCATCTGTACCACCTGGAACCCTGCATTTTGCTTCTAGATAGGAGACCGAATTGTGAAAAACATCCCGAATATTTCGGGCATATTTTGCATCAGGAGATCCTCAGCCGGCTTCATATTGAGAATTTGCTTTTAAGATGTAAACAGGCTCAAAATTTTAAAATATTTCTCTGATATAGACTGGGGTGCGAATGCTTGGACACTGAGAAATCCATACATTGCCTTTATTCGGCTTGTTCTGTAATATGGCATCCAGGTTTATCAGGCTGCTTCTGCCAGCAACCTAGATAAACTGAAAAAGGTTCAACTCTCAGCTGCCAGAGCTATTACTGGTCTCCGCAAGTTCTGTCCGAGGGACATTGTTCTGTATGAGGCCGAGCTTTAAATCAGCGTCGCCAAGTATAGAAATAGGCTGGGCTGGGAAATAATAGGGAATAATGTTACAGCCTCCTTTCCGACATAAAAGGCATGCAGATATGGTTTTTACAAAACTTCAAGCTATATCGTAAAGAAAACAATACAAATAATTTTTAAAAAATTTAAATTAGCATTAAATAACGGTTTAATTCTTTCAACACTAACTTAATAATAACTTAAGTCAACAGGTGTATAGCAAAAGAGTAATATAAGGCAAATGCGAGTCCAAGGCATTGTGCGGCAAATTGTCCGTGGCAAATGCGAGTGCTGTAGTCGCTAGCCGCGCGGACAAATCGATGTCACTTCAAAATGGAGGATGTCTCTAGTTCATTTCCAGACGAACTCATGAGTATTTTTTAATTTTCTACATTATATTAGTGCAAAATTCAATTTGATATTTTCACAGATATAAGCATGTCATTAGCCCCCATTGCTAACTGTTTCTGTTAAATTCGAATAATAGATGCATTTGTTGAGTATGCTGCACGAAAATGGTTATTCCAATGTAAAATTCAACTTATGATCAGCTTTCACGGGTTAATCATAATGTATCATCTTTGCATGTGTTCATGCATAGTGATTACATTTGATTAGTCATGTCTTATGTCATTCAGCAAGTTTACACTATGTTGCATTACTAGGTTTTGATCGGAAGACTATTTTTAAGAACATTTGTCTCGTCAACACTGAATACTTAATCGATATATAATTCTACTTTTATTATTCATTCACTCACCAAATGTTTTACAAGCATCTGCAATTGAATAATTCGTTGGTAATTTTTCCCATCTCATCAGTGGACGAGCGGTTAATCCGGCTTAATTCTAGGAGCTCGATCCGAAGCGAATGAACGTTAATATGAAACATTTTCCATTCGATAAATTTTCACAAAAGCATTCGTTCCCCTAAGCATAGACCCTCGTATGATATGCCATATTTAATCTAAACGTTTTAATTTTCAAACTCACTTCTCGAATACTATAGTGTTTCTTAAGCTTGTGGAACTAGCTTGAAGATGCGTTAAATCAACCCGATATGCTTAAAGAAGTTGTGAGAAAACAAAACTTCTTTAAGCATGGAAAAACCATGCACATGGGGCCGGAAAGAAAGGTGCCAACTACTTGTTTTTGGTCCATCCGTTAAAAGAAACAAGCACTAAGTTTCCTTACAAAGAAGTTTAAGCTAAGCACAGAAATTAGAATAAAGGTACGAATTTATCAACGTATTTTCTGTTTAAATTTCGGCTAATTTTGTTTGCTCTTGAAGAAGAGAGAAACATATCTGATCGCCAAAAAAACCGCTAGGATTTTATAATCTATGCCAATCCAAAGTTGCATTTTTTGGTAGACTTTGAATTTTGCATTGGTGAATTTCACTTCTAATTTGATAATGTCTGTTTTTCTGATGAGTAAATTACTCAAATAAGTCTTTGTTTTTGCCGAATTGTACTTTATGTACTCAATTTATTTCATTATATATTTTTGTTTTGTTATTTTATTTGTTTACCTTGTTGTTCATTCCGTTTATACCTAAAAGTGTTACTTCAACATATTTTAGATAAGTTTCGTTCCCCCTTGCTTACGCAATGCAGTCAGTCTTGAATTCTAAATCTTCAAATTATCCCATTATTTTATGACTATTTTAATTTGAATTGGAGCTTTTGGGGTAGTTACAGTAACAGTTTTTTTCTTTCTTGCATTTTCATACGTTTTCGATTATTAAGGACTAAAATGTTGAAATACCTCTAACATTTTATTTTTTACAAGCGTTATATCTTATCCTAAATTATTCTAAAAAATAAATTTTATGCTTTGTAATTTGAGAACAACATATCGTTTACTTATTTATTTTCTCTTACAGAAAAATCTAATTTCGAGCCTTACATGGAAGACATCTTTCTGTTATCGTTCCTTAGATGGAAAAAATACGACGTTCAGAAAGCATTCGAAGCCCTGTATAACTTCTATATTCTTAAGGAAAAGCACTCTGGAGAGTTTCTTGATCGCAAGCCTTCAGAACTGGCGCACGTACTGGAAATGAATCACTTGTCTGTAATGCCACTGAGGGATCCTGATGGTTGTAATGTGGGCATTTTAAGAATAGGTAAAATATTTTCTTAACAAATGTTATATTAGTATTCGTGCTTACATTTACAAGAACAAATAAATAAGAGCTTCTCCTTCACGTACATTAATCAGAAAAACTAATATCCAATAATTTTCTCAGCATTTTGGTAAATACACGTCATGGCTGTCATACTGGACTTAATAATATTTTTGTCTTTACGTGATTCTCATAGGCTAAAACTTTATTGTTGTATCTCATTAGAAAATGCATATCTTTAAAGTCCTATACATTGATATCATTTCCATGTTGGCTTTCAAACGCAATTAATTTCTGAATTGTTTATATTCTGGTTTCAATAGAAACTTTTCTCTGCCTCTGAATGGCAACAGCCTGAATTTGAGAACTTGATTTTCGATTTGTTTATATGCTGCTTGATCACCGCTGATAAGATCTTAGATTCGATTATAGAAAGTGTGATACTCAAGCAATTATTTTTTAAACTAGATTGGGTAAATTTTGGATGTAGAATTTTCATTAACCTACCACTTCAAGAATTTTAGATGCTGCTCCCCTTAAATAGAATTATTGTGGAACTTCGGGGATACGCAGCGCCATTTTGTCTATTGTCTACCGAAGAGTTACTATAGAACGTTATTTCAAAGACGCGAACTTTTCACTTCAATTTAAAAACAAGTCATATTTGTTACGGAAAGATCTATACAACCTAAAAGCAGAGGTCTTGATATGTATAAACTTGATTACTTTACAACAAAAATATGTTGCAGAACTGCAGCTCCCATAAATCTTTTGACAATACACGTCTGAAATAAAGCATCCAAGCATGATGAAGATAGATTCGTAAAATACACTCATGTCCATAAATTAAGGATAATTCGAAGTCACGCGAAAATCGAACTCTAAAATAAATATATCACCTGTAAAATCACTACACACATCTTCAAAAATCATATGCAAATTTCAGGAAGTAACCAGATGACACCGATGGTACGTCACAATGACGAGTGTAAGAGAGTGATATATAAGGAGTACAGGCAAAGAAGCAAAATTATTCGCAGGCGCTTTATAAGCATTTCAGTGCAATAACCGAATAGTTATGATACAAAGGACGCATTCGGATGATTTTTTACGTGGTAGAATAATCGGCTGTGTGGAATGTGGGCGTACACAACTGGAAGTATCAGACGAACTTGGAATTGCCCAGTGTCGTCTCCAGGCTTTAGCAACGATTCCCAAGATGATGCTAATGTGAGTAGACGTTACAGCACAGGTCGCCCCAGAGTTACAACGCCGAATGAGGACCGGTATTTGGCAGTTACTACCAAAAGAAACAGGCGGAGCACAGCCTCAGACCTGTCTCGTCAGCTCTCTTCAGCCACTGGTACGACAGTTTCAAGGCAGACCGTGTACAGACGCTTAGGGCAGATTGGTCTATATGCTCGTAGACCTGTCAGACGCGTTCCACTTACTGCAACTCACTGTCGTCTGCGGTTAGCCTGGAGTGGAGAGCATGCATTGTGGACACTGCAACAGTGGGCTTGTGATTTCCGACGAGTGATTTCCGACGAGTCCAGCTTTAGCATGCAGTCTGATTCTCTCCGGACTTTCGTATGGAGAGCTCCAGGTACCCGTTACCACCAAGAAAACATCATTGAACGACACCGTTACGGTGGTGCAGACATGGAACCATGACAAGCCAAATCTATCGGGACATCATTCTGGAACAACATGTACGTTTGTTTCATGGCGCCATGGGCGCACAATTTGTGTTTATGGATGATAACGCCCGTCCTCACCGTGCAAACATCGCAAGCGAATGCCTTCAATCGGAGGATATGACCCGTATGGACTAGCCAGTATTCTCACCGGACTTGAATCCAGTAGAGCACGTGTGGGACATGCTTGGCCGACGAACTGAAGCCCGTCAACCTCCTCCTACATGTCTACCGGAACTTCGGAGAGCATTGCTTTTAAAGTGGTGCAATATCCCCCAAGATCAGATTGATAATTTGATACTTAGCATGCCTAGGTGCTGTACGGACTGTATTGCATCGTCTGGAAGACATACAATGTATTAACAATTATACCAACCATGTAATATTGGTTTTTTGTAAATAGGTTTTTTTTTTTTTTTTGTAATTTGCTCCAGGGAGAAAAAATCGCTAATTTTTTTTTAATAATATCAAACATATAGCATCTTTTTTTATCTTTACCTTTTGTTTAAGAAATAAGCTTTAAAAATAAGTCAAATTTGTTTTGCTTTTAACTCTTCCTTTGTCTGATTTTGCATTATCCTTAATTTATGGCCATGAGTGTAGGTTATGAAATAGTTAGAAATCAGTAAAAAATTAAAGGAATTATCAAAGGAATCAAAGTAAAATAGGTTATGAAAGGGGTAGAAGTCAGCACATTGCGGCGTAAGCTTTAGCTTTATTACAATCATGCTTCACCTGTAGCCGAGTGGTTGACAAAATTTTCGAATGATAAGAGCCTGACCTGGATTCGATATCAGGCAAACGGGCTGGCTGCATGGTTCGCTCCTTTCGCGGTAAGTTATGTCATTAGAAAAAATAAATCTATAAATATCAGTTTCATAAGAAGATACTACTTATACCTAGTTTTATAAAACTTCTGAATAAAAAAGAAATTCTCACTTATCTGAGAAAAATCATAAGAATAAGAAACCAAGGAATTGTTATATGTACTTAATAGAAAATTACTGCATTGCTAGCAGTGTTCTGATTAAAGTTATATTGTTCTGATTAAAGTATTCTTTTAATATCTCACCGAATATAAATGTATTGGTAAGTTAAAAATGAAAGGACAAACAGTACGAATTGAATGTATATTATATTTTCTTGATGAAATTGTATAAGGAGAGCCATTTGTATATGTAATGTTTAAATAACATGAGTTTTTTTACTTTATTTCATAACAAAGGAAAAAAACACAAATACTGAAACAGCGTCAACAAACGTGTGAAACTTGAATAATTTAACAATACAAGAAATGCAGAGAACTGGGGCTTCGAACTGGCTCTCTGTTCATTGGCTGATGTATGCCAGATAAGAATTCAAGCCATTTTCTTTCTGAACTTCCTCAACAAGAACATCTATCCCCATTATGAGATACAGTAGCGTAACTAGAACTCTTGGGCCCCTATGCAAAAAAAATTTCCTGGGCCCCTTTCCCAATAAATTTAATGTGTTTAAAAATAAAAGAAAACTCGAAAAGTTTTTAAAAAAAATCAAGGATTCCAGGAGCCAATGTTTTCATGATGATTTTTATCACATCTGCATCAATTGTTAAAAAATAAAAGCACGTTCTTAGGGAACCAGTTGAAAGGTACGTAACATGAAGAAAGAATAAAAAGAAAAATAATTTCCCTTGACCAGCTTTAAGTCTGGGTATTTAATGTCAGATGATTTTAATTCAGTTACTTAAGACTTTTTGTGTCAGTGCGAGAGACAAATTTTTCTCTCCTTTCAGTGAGATGCATACTGATCATAAATGAATAAGTCTATATAATAAAAAAAGGAAAATGTCGACTTATAGCATTAAGAAAAGGAAGAAAACCTAGATTTGCGGAGATTTTTATATAAAAATCCAAGAAGTTTTACATACTAATGTTTTAAATTTTTATTTAAAATCTGCGCTTATCCAAGTTTTTTCGCTTAATTTAGCAAACTTATAAATAATTAGTTATATTATAAACTGACAGACAAGATAATTGATAAACGTGCAGAAAAGCTATTACGTTAATATAAAGGCTCTGTGATTTACTCCGTTTACGAACATGATTTATGGAATAATATACAAATAATAAATAAGAACTTTATAATGTAAATGATACATTTGTTAAATATAAAACATATTTATCATAACCTTCATAAAGAAAACTCTTTGAACATACAATTTTTGTAGAAAATATGTATGGTAAAGCTTTTTACTTATCTCAGAAGTTTAAGTTTTATTGAAATAGTATCGTATTGTAAATAATTTGCTGTAAATAATCTTTGCTTAAGTTACTCAAAATCATAGACCTTATAAGAAATAGACTAACGCAAACGGGTTTTCTCCTTCGTCTGAGGAGTTGCCGGCTGTCACTTTGATCACATCCGGAGGAGTAGGGACATCTTGCAGAAATTTAACATTGGTTGCCTATTGCAACGTGTATAATTGTCAAGAAAAAGCTGGTTGTAGCGCCTCATTTCACAAATTAGAATTTCTTCATATTTTTATTTTTGAAACTGAGATTGATTTTTAAATGTTTAGGATAGTTATGAAGCATAATTAGCGTTCCAAAGAATTATATAGAAATATTGCATGCTTTGAGGGCTGGATTTTTTTTAGCTTTTCCTTTGCTGTAAGGAAATTTGTAACTACTTCTTTTAAAAAACGTCATGGTTTCAGTGTTGAAGTAAAACCAGATCGTCCATACTCTTTCTTGCCGACATGTCGGTGACGCGCGCCCCGCCCACTGGGTTAGTCTATCTCTTATAAGGTCCATGCTCAGAATGTGTTTTCGTCAGATGACTATTGGGTGTGTGTGTGTGTGATTATGGCAAAGCCTCGAGGGCTATCTGCCTAAGGGGAGGGATGCCTTCGTGAAGGACTTTCTAAGGGAAACTGGCTCGTATACACGTTACACATGGGGAAAACCACGAAAACGCCCATGCAGCCAGCCCGTTCGCGGGATTCGAACCTCGGACCGAACTACCAGTGTTCAGCGACTTTACCGCTTGGCCGCTGGTGGGCCAGATGACTATTGGACATCATAGCATTGATCAATGCTAAGTCCCGCCCACAAATTTTTTGTTCATTAATTCTACTTTATCCTTTTTAAAATTTTGGTATTTTCCATGAACTTTGAACATTTATCTTACGAAAAATACAAAAACTTTATTACTCGGACAATTTTTAATGATATTGGAAGTCATTATTCTTCACTTGACTACTCTGCATGTTCAATCAAACAGAATGCACTAGGTGTTGTATTTAATCTCGCAAACATGGAC